CCTTTTCAATATTAGTTAAAATTGTATAATATATTAAATAAAAAACATACTTTATTAAAGAAAACTGTATTCCCAATAAGTGGTTGTAAACAAATTCTAATAAATGGTAGTAATTGTGTCAAAAATATTCCATTTAGCAATTTTATGATGGGTATGAGAGTGATCTAACAATTTTGTTTACAAATGAAATAAAAAACAATAATTACTATATTATTATTTTGTCTTACCTTTCCCTCCTACTGTCAAAACATCAATGTATTAAAGTCATAACAAAATTACAACACATCTTAATCTGAAAAATCGGAAATTAAAGTATTTTTGCAAAAATTCGCTTCGATAATTAATACAATCAGGTTACGTTACTTTGCGGAAATCCTTTTTATTAAAGTTGGTAAGAATTACTTCGCTCACATCCGCTCAATAAAATAAAATGATGTGTCTTACTTAGTTTGAAAAGCAGCTCCCGCCCTAAACATAACCACTGGCTTGCACAGATACTGAAATTATATTAAAAATACATTCCTATTTCTAATTTCGAATAAAAAGCTTGTTATTAAATTGTTTTTGCTTTGAGCTGCATTTAGGCTGTTGCTGGCCAACTTCATGTAGATCTAATTAAATGGTTTACTTCAGGTTTTCTATGCTTTGGTTTGTATTTTCTGACACCGTTGTGAATGAATTTCATTATACCAAAAGTTTTATATAAATATAAACATTTATCAACTTTAAATATATTTTCATATTAAGTAGGAATATACATTTCAAAGCAGACAACAACTAATATATGTAGCCATTATTTTCGGGTTTATAAAAGTGTATTTTTCTAGTTAATTACTTGTATAAGTAGATTTTTAAATAATATTAGTAGATACCTGTTTTTAAACAAATAAGTAAAATATTAACAATGAATACCAAGATGCTCCGTGAAAAGGTTCCATGGCTATATCAAAAACTATTAGTTGCTACATCAGTATTCAGATGATGTGGTCTTATATACTTTAATGCGTAACGAAGTATTTTTATTCATATAGTTTTTTATAATTTAAAGTATTATTTTAGTTTAAAATTAGCAAAAAATAAAATTATTTTAAAAAAAGTAATTTATTACCCAAGCTCTACATAATCCCCGCGTTGCCGTAAAATTTATAGATCCGATGGTTTGGCAGGTTTTGCGTTTGTTTTATTTATGAATTTATGAATTAGAGACTCGTTTTCGCGTGTGCATCTGTAAATATATATTTTCGTTTAAAAAACCTACTAATATAAAAAAATTGAAGAAGAATGATCCTTTCGTTCCATTAAAATAGATTAAAATAAAATTATTATTTTTGTACAAATCGTTAGAAACCTAGGTTCCGATAATATAACTTTACTGGTAAACTTGAGAATTTTAATTAATATCATACTTCTCTTCATATTGCTAGTGACAACTTACGAAAGCGAAATGATATATTTTACTGTGGGTCGGATAAAAGATTAAGCTTAAAGTTAGCGAACTAAGCCCGTGTGTAAAGTCGACAGAAAAAGAATGTTTCTCCATGAACAATTTTCGTAAATCGCCTCCTCGATAAGTGAAAAATTCCTACCGTAAGGACGTTTTTTAGTCTTAAAAATCCGTGATTGGTACATCCGTTGTACTATAAAGATAACATTTATAAAATTAGTAAAACTAGAGAAAATTAATAACTCAAGAGCTCAAAACCATATTTTGAGGACATAATATTTTCTTCCGCTAGGCAGGCGGATTGGAGATCGCAGTGCCAGGCGTCTTGCATTTTCACGCTACCGTCTAACGTCGGTCTGGGGTTTTTATGTTAGGCGTAAACGAGATATTTATAACACCATCTATCGGAAGCTATAAGATTTTGCGCATTTCCCATAGATGTCCTAAGAGGCGGCTATGGGAAATGCAAAAAATCTTATAGTTTTCGATAGATGGCATAGTAATATTTAGTTTTAAATTAATTAATGTGCTTTCTTGTAAATGCTTATTCATTATTTTTCCAATACTTCTTTGTACAACTAATTATCTCAACTATGTATAATAAAAAAATGCATGTCTCGTCTTTTACAACAGAATAACAGTATCCCTAACTGAGGCCTTTCTCAGAGCATTACTCTCGTAACGGATAAGATTAAGTAGGGTTTACGACTACACTAATTAAATCCGTTACGGATATTCGAACGCAAATATTCAAATTTCTGATTTTACGGCTTAGATATGCTGTAATTTTCTTACGACTCCATTACTTTAATGTTTTAGTCGGTAGGAGGGAATGTAAGACAAAATAATACTTAAAAGAAAAGTAAAGTTACAGCCTATATACGTCCCACAGCTGGGCACAGGCCTCCCATCACTTCTGAGAGGGTTTTGGGGCATGGAAGTGTCCGCCGCGGTGCCCCAATGCGTGTTGGTGAACTTCACATGTTTTCGAAATATTTTTTTTTTTCCTCAGACATGCAGGTTTCCCCACGATGTTTTCCTTCTCCGCCGAGCACGTGGTAAATCAGCACTTAAAATTTCAATTGACAATTTCATTGGTGCTGGCGGGGATCGAACCCGGGTTACTCACGTTCTGTAATAATTACAGCGAGCGTTAACCATCTGAACTACCACGGCTCTAATAATACTTACCTATATCAAAAATTTTTTCTTTTTTAGTACATCCCACTTGGACCAAAAATATTTGATATTGCTTAATACAATACTCGTTTACGCTTCGAAATATTGATAAAATATTTCGAGGGTTGGAGGACTGAGAGAGACCCATGCCGAGCAGTGAACTGTTATGAACCATAAGGGGATCCAGCTTTAGTGTATACTGTTGCAATGTTACTTTGTCCGTTCATTACCTCCTCCTTTGTCATTTCATTAAGTTGGAAGTTAGACCATTTTACTTTTTCTCCAATCTGTTATATGATCTCACAAGTATAAATGGGGTGCTCAATTTTCTTACGTAGGCAGCATAGTGATGACGATGAATGCAATAGACCGGAAGATTTTGGGCTGTCCATTTCACAAATTATACCGAAAGAAATAATGTCCCCTTAAACTCGTTAAATTAATACTGTTATTTATCAAAAAGAATTCTATTATAATTATTTCAGTCGCCGAAAACAATCTGATATCATGAAATTAAATACTAGTTGAGTTTTAAAACGCAATAAATACAGAAATTTGTTTTGCTTTAAGTAAAATGTCTTTAAATTTAAAATAATGTTTCAATTCATTGAACTGTACATTGAGTAATACTTTGAATTGAAGTTTATTGCACTGTTCATTTAATGGAACGTGATGTTTCAACAACGAAACGTTACTATATCTACACTTTAAACAAATAAATGGAATCTATATTTGAACATAGCAGCGTGTTATTAAGACGAGGCATGACGCCAAACGAAAGTTTTATAATGCCTCAAAGTATATGATCCACTGCAGTAAACAAACCCAGAAAAATATATGATATTGTCCAGGATATATGCTAGATAGATAGTGTGTTGATAACATGATACCCTTAATTTAATACGACAGAAAAAATCACAAACATACCTATAAAAATTTCTTTTAACAAGTAAAAAGCATACTAGTTAGTATACATATACAACCATTAAATTAATACTGACTTTTTGTCAGATTTTTATACATTCAACATATTAACGTTATAGTGTTTTAATTTTTTAGTCCAACTAACAGTTTTTTTTAGATTGCATATTCTTATTTCTGAAATAATACGTACGAATGTTTGTGTAAACTTCTGTGCAGAGTCACTGCCGGCCGAGGCCTGGTGCTGTAGAGACTTGTCGCTCTTTTTTCCGCAGTATTTACGTTAAAAATTTTTTAAGGACGCGTTTACAAAATTGATAAAGGTATAGAATCGAACTATTACATTGACACGGGTCACGCACACAAGTGTACGCACGATTGGCTGCGGTAATCGTAGTCAAATAAAATTATTTTGATAATTTGAACGATCGAATTTCTTTTTGATTTCTTATACCTCAAAATATACTTAGATATTTAGAGTAATTAGACTTAGATAAGAAATACGAATACCTACTCTAGAGACTGCTTGGCACTGAGAGCCCTCTACTGGCAGTGAGATGTTAGCTGTGGACTTTGGGCTGGTTTTGTCCGTTATGATAAGACCTTACCTTCGGACTTGGTGGAGTGACCTCAAGGTGAACTTCAGTAACTAATACTGGAACACCTGGACTAGTAGAACTAGGTGTGCCGAGTTTGGACTCGTTTTGTTAGGTATGATGAGTCCTTATCTCCGGACTTGACGGAGTGACCTGAAGGTGTACTTTGGTAATCGCTATTGGAACTGGTCTCCGAGTACTACTAGGTGTGCCAAGTTTGGGCTCGTTTTACGTCAAAAAATTCATTTAAATTATAGTAACATTTATTAATAATCCTGAGCTCCTCAGAGTGATTCGGAATCCTGAGCGACCGAATAATGCCCGATCAGTGGCGGCTTAGTATAATAATGCCGGTCTACAAGGGTAAAGGGTCCGTTCAGGATTGCGGTAATTACCGCGGTATAAAGGTGACGTCACATACCATGAAGCTCTTGAAGCGAATTATTGACACCAGGATCAGACAGGAGTGTACAGTATCGGACTCCCAGTACGGTTTCCAACCAGGACGCGGTACCATGGACCCTATATTCGCCCTAAGGATCCTCATGGAGAAGCATAGGGAAAAGAATATGCCTCTGCATTTTTTATTCCTAGACCTGCAGAAGGCCTTTGACTGTGTTCCTAGGGAGATGATCTGGTGGGCGTTGCGGTTGAAGTTGGTACCAGAGACCTACGTGGAAATCGTACGTGATATGTACCGCAACTCCGATTCAATAGTCAGGACCGCTGTTGGTGATACCATCCCCTTCCCCATAACCGTAGGCGTGCATCAGGGCTCCGTCTTAAGCCCCTATCTCTTCAGTGTGATATTAGACGAACTGTCAGCCAGCGTACAGAAACTACCGCAGCCTTGGTTGCTTATGTACGCTGATGATATCACACTGGTAGATGGGGCAAAGGACGGCTCACACGCATGGCATGGCGTGCACGCATGGAGGGAGGCGCTTGAGAACGGCGGGCTGAAGCTAAATGTGGCGAAGGCGGAGTATATGGCCTGCAACACCACAGATCTGACGTCTCTCCGTATAGGCGACGATACCGTCGAGTGCACGGACAACTTCAGGTACCTCGGATCTGTGCTTGATGCGTCCGGGGACATCGATCGCGACATCAAGGCCCGTATATCAGCGGCCTGGGCGAAATGGCGCGAGGTGACGGGTGTCATTCGTGACCTCAAAATGCCGGTCAAGCTGAAGGGACAGGTCTATAAGACCATCATAAGGCCTATCCTTACGTACGGCAGTGAAGCGTGGCCGGTGCTAGAGCGACACCGGCAGTTGTTGCATGTCACGGAGATGCGGACTGCGGTGGATGTGTGGTGTCACGCGGAAAATATACGCATGAAAAACCATGTACGGAATACATACATCCGCGGCAGCCTCCATGTCCGTGACATTGCTGACAAGTTCCAGGAAAGTCGCCTCCGCTGGTACAGCCACGTCTTACGACGACCGGCAAGCTACGTGGGAAACAAATGCCTGGACATGACCCTACCTGGTACCAGGAGTAGAGGACGGCCCAAGAAACGCTGGCTTGATGTCGTTCAGGATGACATGCGCGCCAATGGGCTAGTTGCGAGGGACGCCGAAGACCGGGCAAAGTGGAGGAGGAAGTGTAGGAAAGCGGACCCTGGGTTCTCCCGCGCTGGGCGAGATGAGCAACCGGGATAAACGCTAGGTAGAAGAAGAAGAACATTTATTAATAAGAACTATTTTTAATTGTTTATTAAATTGCACATGATTTTCCAAAGATTTTTATGGAATTCGGTAAATATTTACAAATCTTTATTGACATAACGTGAGGGCTGTTTGAAACTAATTTTAATTTGGAGAAGGGTATCTTAAGCTTATATAAATTTCTATTATTTCTTTTAGTTTTTTTAATAGGTGAGTAGAGTTTTGGGTGTTTCCTAACGAATTTACAAGATTCGATGATGTAGATAGATGTAAGTGTTAAAATTTTATTTTTAATGTAGTGGGGTTTACATGACTCCATTTTGTCCAAATTTATCAATATTCGTAGACACTTCTTTTATAATATGAATAATTTGTTTACATCACAAGAGTTTCCCCACAAGATGATGCCATAGGAGAGTACGGAATGAGCATGTGCATAGTAAGCCGCAAGGGCAGTCTTAAAATCTGTCACACGTTTAAGGTGTTGCAGTGCATAAATAAATGAGGATATTTTTTTGCAACTTTTTGTATGTGCTGTTACCAACTCAAATGTGTGTCCAGGTCTATTCCTAACAAAGTGCCAGAGTTAACAGTTTCTAGTTTTGTGTTTTTATAGTTAAACGATATTTGTAAACCAGTTTTTTGGTAGGGTTTAAATTGAATAATTTTAGTTTTATTAAGGTTAAGTTGTAAATTATGTAATTGTAGCCAGCCAGTAATTTTATCTAATGTATAGTTCAATTTTGTAGTTAAATCTGTGGAATTAGTGCAAGAGATTAAGATGGAGATGTCATCTGCAAAGAGCACGCTTATTATGTAAATAAGAAACAAAATACAACCCAAAACGCTATCTTGAGGGATAGAGCCAGTAATGAGAGTTGCATCCGAACTGACATGAGTAATTTTGCCTATCTCGAAGTCGGTATTTTCAATTTCTACATAATGGAAGCGGTTATCAAGATATGATTTGAACTAATTATGAGCTATTCCCCTAATTCCTGTTTGATACAGTTTATCCAATAGAGTTTTATAACAGACTCTGTCATAGGCTTTACTCATATCGAGCAAGAGACCTACTGCGATTTTTTATCGTCGATTTTGTCTAGGATGTTTTTACATATTTTTTATAAATTGCTAAGGTGGTGGAGTGGTTTTTCCTAAAGCCATGTTGGTTCACATGCAAAATTTTATATTTTTCATAAAATGAACAAAGACGTTTCGCCATAGCCGCTTCAAATATTTTAGCAGACGTAGGTAACAGAGCTTATAGGTCGATAATTATTTATGCCAGTAGTTTCACCCTTTTCATGCAAGGGTTTGATTAGAGATATTTTGAGGGCATCTGGGAAGATACCTTCTGAAAAAGATTGATTTACCAATATTGTATAGGGGAATGTTAACAAATCAGAACAACTTTTAATCAAAATAGGAGTCATTTCATCAATGCCGTAGGATGATTTATTTTTGAGATTTTTTATTATGATATTCATTTCGTTAGTTTCTACTGGGCTTAAGAAGAGAGTATTTTCGATGGATTTTTTTAAAGTTGTTTTATTTAAATTACAGTTATTTGAATGCAAATTTCCTATAGATGCATAAAAGGTATTAAATAAGTTCGCTACTATTTTAGGATCACATGATATATGTTTATCTGTTATTTTTAGTTGAACATTTCTATATTTTCGTGAATTTTGTTAGTCTCGTTATTTATGATTTGCCACATAGTTTTAGTTTTATTTTGAGAATTTCCAAATTTATATTTGTTACATAATTTTTTGGATAAATTGATGGCTTTTTTAATATTTTAGTATACTGTTTATAATGATATTTAAAATTTTTATTTTTAGTTTTGGAAACCAATAAATTTAAAAATCTTTTATAGCGACACGATGTTTTTAATCCTACTGTTAAATAATTTTTCTTTGGAGAATTTTTTATTTTTATTTGGATTTTTGGTATACATTTATTTAAAGCTCTTTGTAAGATTTCACTAAATATGTTATAATTTTCATTTACATTTTTATTAGGTTTAAGTATGTCATCCCAATTTATATTAGAAATTTCATTTTTGAATTTAGTTATATTTAAGTTATTGTATATTCGTTTATTTAATAAAAATTGCTTTAAGTTTTGTGTTGGAGACGGTATAGAAATTAATAAACTACAATGATCTGAAAAACCAAATTCATGATCAGCTATTTTCATATCCTTTAATTTAAAATTAATAAAAATTAGATCAATGCATGTGGAGCTGTTTGGTGTAATTCTGGTGGGTTGTTTAATCTTTTGGTGGAAGTTATACGATAACATTAAATTAGAGAGCCTATTTTTTTCGCTATTATTTGTTAGGAAGTCTACGTTAAAGTCACCACCTATGATAATATTCTTAGAATAATCTTTTTTTGAGATAAGATTCAAGAGTTTTTCTAGACGTTAATAGAATACTTCGATTTCCCATTTGCTATTAGGCCAGTAGAGGTTAATAATTAACAGGTTTATTTGAGAGATTTTAGTAGCATATATTTCAAAAATCATTTCGGTGGACAACGAAAATATATCTATTCGTTCGTGATATTCTAATGTGTTTTTTATTAGTATACATACTCGTTCTGCTCTTCCCGGCAGAAAGATGAGCTTACGGAATATCCTTCTATTTTCAACAAATCTTTCTTTTGTTTATTTAACCAAGACTCTGATATACATATGACATGAAAATTACATCTATCCTCTAAAAGTGCCTCTAGAAGGTGAGTTTTATTACAAATACTTTGCATATTTTGAAACATAATATTAAAATAAACTCCGAAAAGTAGAGTTACTTGTTATATTATTGTCTTTTCTTGGTCCTACGTCTTCGCTGGTTGTAGCTTGATTTGTGTTTTTTGTAGAGATGGGAACGGTAAAGTTTGGTGATTTATAGACGGTTATTTTTGTATCATCTCTGCCTTCTGTTGTCTGCGTGTACGTATTGATTTTCTCATCATTTAGTGATAAATCGGTTGCTTCTTTTCCATTGATGATTAACTTATTGTTTCTTATAATCGCGTGGTGTCCATGTTTTCTTCAACTTTTTTCTTTTTTGCAAAGCTTGAGGACTTAAATACTCTGTGACACTGAAACCGGCTTGTTCTAAATATATGTAGTTATCTAGGATGTATTTTTTCATTCTTTTGCTAATTAATTCGATTTTAGCGGTCTTTTATTACTCCTTTTGCCTATGAATGTTAGTCCTTCTATATACCCTGTTAAATCTAAACATAGTATATCATAAAAAATACTTATAACTCTTTCCACTACTATTCCGTCGAGTTCTCTTTCATAGAGTTGATTGTTCGGTTGGAGTACATTTTCTTGTATGTGTTGGATCTCATTTTGTAATTTATTATTTTCAGCCTGGAGAGTAAGGCATTTTTGTTGTAAATGCTCTATTTTTGAGCCTAAATTTGATATATCTTAGTTTAGTTATGTTTGTTCCAGTAAATTTTTTTGAAGCTTTGTTTAAAATCGGCTTTTATTTCAGATATAGTGTTTTCTATTTCTTTTTAGAAGGAAGTTTGTATTGCTTTTAAGATATATTTGTTGTTTTCTTGCAATATGGATGTAATTTTTTGTAGTGTGATTTGCTCATAATCTATATTAGAACAAATAGTCACATCTTTTCAGATTAGGGATTTTGAAGTTTCATAAGCTACAGTATTTCCTTGGGGCGATATTATAGAGTCATCATCACTAACCGTTGAGTTTTCTTCATCGAATCGAATATGATATCTTTTTTTCTTTTTTGTGATATTAGGATCTGTTATTAGATTTATATTTAAATTTTCACGATGTTGTTGTGGTCGGATGGGCGTGTTACTGTTGTCTGCTTTTGGTTCTTTCGATCGGCAAAGTTGGCATTTCCACAACAGTTTGTGATCTTTAGTCATGATATTGTAAAAACGTTTTTCGGATACGTTAGCACATTCGAGATCATAATTTTGGCAACAAATCGAGCATTTCAAAAATCTCCTATCGGGTATCTCTTGACGGCAGCCTGCACAAACGCCTGCCATCTTAAGAGCAGTGGCGGTAGTTTGGTAACGATTCTTAGAAATATCTATGTCAGCTATTCCACAATAGATGGCGCCACGTAATATGTGAGTTACGTTATATAATATGGCTCCCCAATCTAAACTAATTTGCAACAGGTGTATACACTATTTCACACTAGCTGGCGTTGTGTTATTTATGAGCTAGTATAACAGGTAGGGTACGAAGTCCATTTCTTAGTTCTTGACAAAGAACAATAATTCGTTATCCAGATTTAAAAATTACGCACTGTTACTTACAGTTTTCACACATTTATTAAGTTTTAATTTATTGGTGTATTGTTCAAAGATTATTCACTATAATAATTTCTCCTTATCACAGTTTAAAGCTTCAACATTGTAAATTATTTCACTTTAAATTTTTTAACTTATTTCTCCAATTTTCCTTTCACGAACACTGTCACACATTACTTTATGTTTACTTATCACTTTTATTGC